CTTTACAAACATGTGCCCGACTTGGCGGGTTTCTTAGTAAAGGCTAACTCCGAGGGCCAGCCTGGTCCGCTCACGTACAACCGTACGCTCTCTGACGGTGCCAATCTATTCGCAAAGGCCGTCAAGCCGCATGGCGGTATTGTCATGTTCCGCGCTTTTGTCTATGATTATCAGAATCTTAACGAGAGTAACTGGAAAGCCGACAGAGCGAACGCGGCCGTTGACTTCTTCCGCGACCTCGACGACAAATTTGACGATAACGTCGTCGTCCAAGTCAAGTATGGACCGATTGACTTCCAGGTACGGGAGGCTCCGTCGCCGCTTTTCGCACATTTAAAACAGACGGCATCGGCTATCGAACTTCAAGTTACGCAAGAGTATCTCGGCCAGCAGTGCCACTTGGTTTATCTACCGCCTCTTTGGAAAGAGATCCTCAACTTCGACTTGCGCATCGACGGCGAGAAATCTGTCATCGGTTCTGATATCCTCTCCGGCAAGCGCTTTAATAAGAAAGGCCTTACGGGTTACGCGGCTGTCGTAAACGTCGGTCAAAATGCCACTTGGCTTGGCACACATCTCGCCATGTCCAACTTATATGGCTATGGTCGATTGGCCTGGGACCCAACGGTCGATGAAGTGGCGATCTTGGAAGACTGGACGCGGCTCACTTTTGGCTTGGACGATACCATCCGCGAGACTATTACACGCATGTCGATGGAATCTTGGCCGGCGTATGAGAATTACACAGGCAATCTAGGAATCCAGACACTTACGGATATCACTGGACCGCATTTCGGGCCAAACCCGCAATCGATGGACAACAACCCGTGGGGACAGTGGACTCGGGCTGACGCGTTTAGCATCGGGATGGACCGTACGGTTAAGAACGGTACCGGGTACGCGGGCCAATACCCGGCAGAGGTCGCCGCTATGTTCGAGGATATTGAAACGACACCGGATGATCTACTGCTATGGTTCCATCACGTCCCTTACACGCACGTGTTAAAGAACGGCAAGACGGTCATCCAACACTTCTATGATGCGCGTATGTGAATTCCCTGCAGAGTTTCTCGAAATAATCAATTAATCGCTAACTCCGTTGCAGACTACGCAGGCGCCGAGACAGCCGCCACGTTCTCCGTGCAGTGGGCCAAGCTGCAAGGCCTAATCGACCAGCAGCGGTTCGACGAGATGGCGTTCCGACTAACATACCAAGCAGGCCACGCAATCGTCTGGCGCGACGCCATCAACGAGTTCTACCACAACCTATCCGGAATAGCTGATGCCCAAGACCGCGTAGGCAAGCACCCATGGCGCGTCGAAGCCGAATCCATGACTCTGCGCGGATACCGCGTCACAGCCGTGAACCCATTCGAAGTAGCCTCCGGTCTGCGCATCGTCCAAAGCGTCGGAAACTCAAGCTCGGCAAGCGTCTCCGTCACGCTAAACTACACGGCTGGAACGTACGATCTAGCTGTTGCTTACTACGATCTATACGAGGGCAAGGCGTCGTACGAGCTGTTTTTGAACGACAAGAGTATTGGGTCGTGGGTCGGCGATAACGAGGATAGGCTTGGGTTTACGCTGACGAGGGGCATCGACGGACACTCGGCGACGAGGATCACGTTTAAGGGCGTCGAGATCAAAGAGGGAGATGTGGTGCGCGTCGATGCTAAGGCTAATGGACGCGAGACGGCACCGCTGGATTATATCGCAGTGCTACCACCGGGCGTAGTGGATTGATCGCTTTGGCATTCTGCTGTAATTTATTTGTTGATATCTATTGTAGTTTCAATATGTAGGTAGTATATGTTAGCTTATATGTACATATAAGAACTAAGTATGGGATTATCAAATTCATTTCATCCCAGCTCATCATTTGATTCATGTGAATGCTGTGGAATAGGTACATAGGAATTTGTGAATAGTAAACGCTACCGCATGCTTGTGATGATGCCGTGTAGCGTTGAGCTTCGATGCGGAACCAACAACGGTGGACTGGTAATAGCATCAGATCATTGTTTCTTGAACGCGGCCTGTATGCCATGGGAGCTTCAGAGTTCAGTAAATCGGGTAATAAAACCCAATAAATTAATTAATTGATGGCATTACCAACGCGACCGAGGTCGCGCCTCACTCTCCACACTTTCGAGCCGATGCCACGTTTCTGGTTTCCATGTAAAACCTCTACCCACGGCACCAATGTCGTATCTGTAGACCCTTCTAAATCGTTATCTTCAGCGTCAGAGATATATCCAGTATCATCAACCATGTCAATCGTCTCGTCTGCATCTGCTCCGTCGTCTGCCTCTTCATGAGCCCGATAATATAGCTCTTCAGTATAAGCCCAGCTCGGCGTATCGAACTTTCCACTAACAAGAACGATTTCCCCTCCTCTCGAGGTAATTTCTTCTATCTTCTCCTGTCGTAAAGGTGTCAAAAGTTGGAGCATACCATTCTTGACGTCGATGCCGCGAACGAGGGCTAAGCCAAGAGAGTGGGAGAATTTAGGGTTAAGAGTAATTCCGTTCGTCGTGTCGATGAATGGAATGCCTTCGGGTGTCGTAACAATAATATCTCTAGCCAATGTCGAAAAGGACGAGGACATGGATTTCTGGGGTCCTTCATCAGGCCTATCTATATCCATCGCATCAGAAGTCGTATCGCTAGGTAACATAGCATGCTCCTCAGGATATCTAAACGCTTGGACGCTTTCGACTCCTACAACCGCGAGAATGGTGCCATTAACTGCGTCGGCTAATAAATTCATGGGTGTTTGGTAATCATAACACATGATTCCGAATATCCCCCGCCCAGGACCTTTATAGCTGACTTGCCAAGGAGGTACAGTTGTCAGTGGCTTGTTATTCCACTGAACCCAATGACCATCAATACCAGAGCTTTGTGGTTCTGCATGGAAGTATGACATAGTCTGCATTGAACGGAGATGTGCTGCTGTTCTCGAGGCAAGCTGAGAGGCCTGGGAAGGGAGTGTAGAAAAGGTAGTAGTCCTACACGATTCCTGTAGAACCTCTACTACTTCAGCTGGACCGGACTCAGACATATATAGCACCTCGGTAGGCCGTGAACTAGTGATGAGGGATGTAAGAAGGTCAAGCCCTGTTCCTTGGATCCATCCCGGGGTGTTTATGATAAGGGGGTAACGCCCTAGAGAATTCCGATAGTGCGTTATAAGATCCATTGCAGCCTCTAGATACAACTCAGGATCGGAGGCTGGAGATATGGATGCTAACGCATGAGACCGAACGATCTGTAGCTCTGGACAAGGAAGAGGACGACAGAACGAGGGACTAAACACGGGCTCAGTTAGGAATACAAGAGCAACTTGGCCGGCGACGCAGTATTCAGGCTGTCCTGGGTCAAGGTCAAGCACAGCTACCCCGCGGTGGACTCTGCGTTTGGAGCTACTTGACTGATCCGTGATGAGTCGGTTCGCAAGTAACTTGCCAAATGTGGATTTACCAGAAGATTTTGGCCCAGTGATCATAAAAGAGCTGGGTTTCGAGCTTGAAATATCGACTAATTTAGCAATCTCCCTATTCCACTCTGGTGGGGATACTAAATCCTGCAGCATTGTTTTCTTTGGGCCATCTGCTGAAGTATATAACTATGGGCATCGTCAGCTGCATAGCTTATTGAAATACCTCGATGATCCTTACTATTACAAATGTTGGGTAGGGTGAAATGGTGTTGTTTGACGATAAATTAGTTTCATTCCAGAGCTTCCTGAACTGAGGAGCGAGCTTCCCTAAACTTCTCAGACCGGCAGCGACTGGATGAGGGAGCAGTTCTAGGCTAGCATCATCTGAGCATCTAAGGACAGGCAGTGCGTGACAATGTGGCGCATTCACCCAATACACACTTTCTGACATCCTTAGCACCGCGCCATTGAGAGTTATCTCTCCAGATTTCACGCGTATGCCATAGCTGCCGAGAATCACTAAGCGCTACTATTTGTAAGCCCGGGTTTCTAGAATTTTGAGTAGGGGAAGCAAACCTCTCCATCAAATAACTTTAACAGTATCCTCCCATCTTTTCGTTTTTGGTAGTTGCTTTTGGACGGCTTAAAGTTAGAGAGGTGGACTGGTAGTGCCTTAACCGGCTTCACCGATATCTCATCATCGGCTATAGAAGGCGAGGAACTTCTAGGTGGGATATTAGGAGAGCCAAAGACAACGGTATTGTCTTTTGAAAGAGATAAACTTTCTGGTATTGTGTCCTTCACGCTGATATCGGGTTCGTTATTAACACTCGGTAGTGGTTGAACATGTAGGGCCTTCCTTGTCTTCTTTGGACTTGGAATCTTGCTAGTCTCCGAAGTATCCAATGTTGATGAGGCTTTAGGGGCCGATATGGTCTCATAATCTGCGTCCACATTCAATGATGTAGTGGTAGTTTGCTGGTTAAGAAGTCTTTTGCGAAGAGCAAAGGCGCTCATGGCTAATGGGATATAAGTATTCATCCACCATCTATAGAAACTACCTATCAATTATAACAACAATATAGGGTTAAACGCACCTGGTGGAGGTTCTGATATATTGAATTTCCTCTTCTTATTCATGGCCATTGCATCTTACATTCATTAAAGCTTGTAAGAAAATATGAGACTTTGTTGAGTTGGTATTAACCATTTGCCATCCAATACAAGATAAAGATGGGAGTTCCAAGGTTCCAATCTACCAAGTTGATAAAAAAGCTCCTCTACACAATTTATTAGTGGGGCTTATGCAGGTGCGTGCATATGTACATTTGTGCATTTTAAATGTACATGTACAAACTGGATTGGATGCACGGAATTGAACCTTGTGAAATGCCGGATCTATAATCTTCCGTCCATCTCGGATTACCTAGGTAAGTTCATTTATCAAAGTACCTATCCAGGTACCTACTGATTGTCCCACATCACCCCGGGCCCGCGACTGCCCTGATAAGGAAGCGCGCCGCGTCTAGCATCAAGAGCTCTCCAAAAAATTTGTACGCTTAGAGGCTCAGCGTGAAAGTTACTTTATCAATTACATGTAATATTTCACCTTTTTGATATTCTCAACGCCACCACCACCTCTCCAATTGGCACTTCTCAGAGAAAATTTCTCACAGGTTTTTGAACGAGTTTAGCTCGATTAACGAGCATTTTATCGGGTTCCTTGAGGAATATTTTTTAAACTTATATTCCTGTCGCATTTTGCGCTCAGAAGCCTACTTTCACATCCTCGTTGCCGCCCTGCACATATATTCACAATGTCGAAGCATCGCCCTCGAATCCCGATGGGATCACTCAGCGATATGGCTTCAACTGTTCGTGACAAGAAAACTGCCTCCAAAACTAATCCTCCGGGTTCCATCCAGTTACAAAAGAATCAAAAGCTACCTAAGGATACCAGTAGCGAAGATGATAATGGCACTAGCAGCTCCGACGACAGCTCTCAAAGTGGCAGCGATAGCGAAAATGACCTCAAGGCTGCCAAGAGCAAGTACGCTGCAAAGCAGGCAACCAAGCGCAAGGCTGCTGAACCAAAAGCGAAAGCTGCCAAGTCAGAGCCTACCAAGACTATCCCGAATGCAGGCGCATCACCATCATCTAAAGTTTCAACCAAGGCAGCAGCTTCCACAAGTCCTGAGGGATCCGAATCCGAATCCGAATCCGAATCCGATCCCGACTCCCAGAGTTCGGATTCTAGCGACAGCCCGGCTAAGGGTGGCGCGGCAGTGAAGGGAGGAAATAAGGATAAGGAGGAAGCAGAGAGCTCATCGGAAAGCGAAAGTGATGATGAAAAGACCAGTGCACAACGCGCTGTTGAGGCCGAATCTTCTAGCGACGAGGCTAGCGATAGCGGTTCCGATGACGACAGCGAGGAAGCGCATGATGTGGAGATAGATAGTGACAAGGTTGCCATTTCTAGAGTTAATGGTAATGATGTTTCTGAAGTGTAAGTTCCGGAGTCGTACATCTATCTTGGTGGACTACAAGCTAATGCCGCTATTCTAGCTCCCGGCCTGGCTGGCTTAATAGCTCTGAATTTGCGATTCGCAAAGCTTCATCCGACAACCCTGCCAAAGAAATTACAGAGTTTTTCAGCAAAACTAACTTAGAGGGGAAGCAGGTGTGGTATTTTACTGCACCAGCCTCATTACCGATTACTGTGCTCAGAGATATGGAGATTGATCTGTCCAAGGCAACTCCCGGAGAAGCATTACTGAATCATAAAGGCGACGATTACGGCCTAGATCTTGAGTCGCATGCCACTAGCACACAGATCCAGTTACTTATCCCTTCACAAGGAGGGGATAACTATACTTCTCGTAAGTCGCGCTTCCTAGTTTCCCAATTTTAAACAATAGTTAACAATCAGAAGTGAATCGTGGAATCGACTCAACTGTGCATCTCCGTCGTATAGCTAAATTCGGACCTGGTGGCACTGTCAGTGCTACTGCTACTGAGGATTATACACCAATACCGAAGGCTATTCGAGAGCAGCCACAGGGTCTAAGACCCCGTTTCACCCCTATTGGCGTCCCTAGCCCTATTCCACAGGTTCAGTCCTCGGAATCTCGTCCTGCACCCGCAAAGCGAGCAGTTTCTTCATCCGAATCGGACAACGAGTCAGAGAGTGCATCCGACAGAGACTCGGTGGTATTACCTACCCCGACCAATTCGAAGAAATCCAAGAAGCCAGCTGCTGTCAATGGGAAGCTGAAGCGAAAACAACCTGAAGGAGAGAGCAAACCAACTCCGATCCAAGAGCCTCGGCCTCAGGAGAAGTCTGCAAAGAGACTTAAGACCACTAAACCTGCATCTTCCAAGGTTTCGAGCTCCAATAAGGAAACACCTGTCTCGACCCAGACGCCAAATGGTACCCCCAGCAACAAGAAGGCGAAGAAGGAAAAATCAAAGTACTCGATACAGTCAACGAAACAGACTCCAGTCCCTGTACCTAAAGTTTTTAGCATGAACCGTTAAGTTGGGGAGGACTGAAGTTGCGTAGCCTACAATTTTGGGGCTTGCATCGACATTTTGTTATACTTGCATGCATGCATTCAGCTAACAAGTGGTGGATCTATCCGACGGAATTTTGCTCGTGGCATTATCGGGCGCACGTCGCCGCCTATATGCGAGATAGTCTACTGGAGGTAGGGAACCTGATGAAATGTGGTTTACCAGCAAAATCGGTAGACTCAGGTGCGTTTGCGTATGATTATTCCTACAAAGGTTGACACGCGGCGTCGATGGGACATGAATTATGGTAGTGCGGTCTCATCACTCCTTTTCTTGAGATACCAAAAGCGGTTTATCCGATAGTCTTGGTCTTTTTCCTGGCACTCGTATGGATAGGGTGCGGTTAGGCGGGCCAATATCAAAAGTACTAGGCTAGGAAGTTAGCAATAGAGGTTAAGCAGATTCGATGCACTCATTCCATAGTAATGTGAATTATGGCTTTAGGTATTTTATAGAGTATCCAGTTGCCAGTTCGGAATCGCTGTTTAGGTAGGCACACATAGCCCAGTCTATTGTCGGGGACTGACGAAACCAGCCAGCCAGCCCAAACAAAGCCAATCGTGACTTAATCCTTGACCAGAGTGTAGCTCGTAATTACCTGGTAGTCACACAACATGTGGCCTTCCCTAGCAATACCCAATATAACTCTATGATTGCTTATATCAGGTAAGTTGTTGCTATTACCAATATCTTGACAATGTCAGTAACGTTAGTTGTCAAATTTCTATTTGGTTTCTACTATGCCCGGACTCTGATATAAAATCAAATATCACCGTTCAATAACATAATGTAACCTATTCGCATGGCACCGTAGGCCAAGTTTACGTGCCTTGGGATGTGAAATCTTGGCATTTACTAACCCATAACTTAATAGACCGTCCTAACAATTTGTGTATTGTTAAGCTGTGGCGACATACATAAATTAATTGGGCGGATTGTCATACTGTTTGTCTTTCTCAGATTGATTAGGCCAGAATTTGGTTTTCGTCTGCTAAGTACCTAGGTTGGGTATCTTAGGTATAGAACCTCGTGAGACTTCCAATCATATCTGTCATGTTGTCGTCATTCATTTCTTTTCATGGCACATAGCATTTCCGCTATCCATATCCCCCATCATACATGCACCTCAGTGCTGCTATGTCGCCATACCGAACGCCATCGTCAAGGATGCGAACCTAGTTGTATTGAGTTAGCTCATCACTAACATATACCGGAAGTCGAGGAGATAAGATTAAAATGACAAGCTGTATCAGATAGGATAGTTATGCATCAATGAAGATCTCAGCCCCGTCTTGAAACATATTTTTGACATAGGTATCATCATAACAGCTAAAAGGTGCAAAATGAAATTAAATGGAATTGTGTAGCATACCGAGTGTCATAAGTGCAGTCAATCAGCAGTTAACTGCACTACTTAGAGACTCCCAGCCATTGCTGTTCCAAGGAGCGACGAAGATCGCCGTCTGAGCATCGGCAACTTTACCAGTACCCGCATACGCATCGGCAAGATCTATAGCACCTAGTTCTCCCCTCGGTGGTATGGCCTTCAGTGCCACGTTCAAGGCCATATCTGCTGGATATTCTTCCCCGCTAACCTCGGCTAATCTCGACCATCCGTGTGGGAGATGCGGGTATAACATAACGTCGTTTTGAAGCTGAGTAAGGATATCGTCCTCTGTACTATTCTCTGATAGGGCAGCTACGGCGCGGAACACTTCTCCAATTTGAGAACGCTCCGTATCAGTAACTTTATCACTGGTACGGAGTGTTTGGAGCTCCGAGACAACGGCGTCGAGAGACTCCTCATCTTCATCGAGCAATGCTATGATACCCAGAAGAAGCACAGATTGTACGTGGCTTAAGTCCTTCTCTATCACATCGAACAGAATAGTGCGGGCTCTTTCTCGACCATCATCCGTACCCGTAGCCCATAGCATCTGAGCTAGGACGCAAACTGCATCTGGGTTGCCGTTGGATTCACTTAGTGCCGTTTCAAAGTACGACACGGCTGCATCAATGTTCTTAGAGAAATACTCTGCTAAACCGACCGTCAAGTGTGCTGATAATCTAGCTTTTCTGCGTTGTTCGGCTGTTAGTTCGTTTGCGGACTCATCGCTGCTTAATTGCAAAGCCATTTCCCCGCAGTCAACAGCTTCTGCGTATCGAGCAGCCGAGAGATAAGATCGAGCCAAGTCCGTTTTAGCTAAGGCAAATCGCCCGAGTGACTCCGCGGACTCGGTGGCTTCGTAAGTCGTCTCCAACTGTTCACACGCCTTCTCGAGAGTGTCTATTGCTCTAAGGCTGTCATTCGTTCGCTCTTGGTATAGCGTCGATAGATGCTGATACGAAAGATCTTGAGGATTGAGACGACGTAATTGGTTGAGTGCAAATAATGGTTGGATGAGAGACGAAACACTTAAATCCGACGGACTTGAGAGTACGTAGTCGAATAGAGACGTGGGGTATTGGCGTCTGGTTAGTAGTGAAGATGACTCTGAGATATCCATTGCATGGGTGAATAAGCTGCGAGCTTCTTTAGGATCACCGTAAAGAAGGGCGACGAAGCCTTGGCCTAGCCAGGCATGGGCATAATCGGGGTCATTAGACTGTGCTCGCGTAAAAGCTTCATTAGCGAGTTGAATGTCATTCTGGAGTAGTGCAAGAGCGCCAAGATTCGACCATGTATGTGGGCTTCTTTCATTGAGGAACAGGCTCCGGACAAATGCATGCTGCGCCACAGATGGGTTTATTTCGCTCGTGACAACACCTAGTGAGTTCCAGAATTCCGGATTCCCAGCCTCTAGTTCAATGGCACGTTTAAAGCACCGGACAGCAGCTTTCTGGTATCTACTGGACTGAACTCGGAGCTGCGAAGGGAGGCAAAGGTGTGCACGGTTTTCGGCCCAGCCTAAGTTGTAATATGCAACCGCTTGAGCGTGAATATCGTTGGCCGACTCATGAATTGCTCGCTTGTGGGCTAAGATGGTGGCATGTAAACATCGCGTAAGATCAACCCCAAGCTGCTCATCATCTGGAAAGATGCCTTCAGCAAAAACAACTTCTCTGCCCACATTATCGACATCTTCCAGTACCGCGTATGCAGACTTATCTTCTGCACCAAGGTCAAGTAGTTTCCGGACGTTGTCAGTCGGAAAGTCATGCAAACGACTCTGGACAGAAGCAAAAATGGAGCATGAATCGCCAACTACTTTCCAGAAATTGAACGTGTTGGTGATCTTTGTAGGCACGGTGAGCGCAAAAGTCAAAGTATTGGTCGCCAGTTCGACTGATTTACCGAATATGCCTTTCTCCACGCAATCTGAAGCATTTTCGACCATAGTCTGCATCAAAGCTATTGCGACGCCTTCCTCTTCCGGCCGAGTTGAAATAACCCCATGGTACAAGGCGATGGCTTCATCGAATTCGCCAAGCTCACGCTTGACATTAGCAAGCATATACTTGGTAAACCAAGTGTCGCCGATCTTACTATGATCCATCTGCTCTTCCAGCTTCTGCGCAGCCTGAATTGCTTTCGTTGCGGCAATATATCTTCCGGAGCTATGATAACTCTCCCCTAGACCGACCCACGAATGGTAATCTTCGGGAGCTATCCGCAAAGCATGTTGAAATGAGACGATGGCCTTAGGATAATCTTGCTTATTTAGTTCCGCGACCCCCAGTGCAGAAAGAGGCCAGCTGATCCCTTTCTTCTTCGATCCGGGAGGTGGTCTGACTCTGCCTGAATCTACTACTCGCTGCGCCACTAACTCAACCCGATCCCAATCTCCGTCGTCGGCAAACGACCGTGCCAGCCTCTCGGCAGACTCGACTTCTGCTGAAGAAAGCTCTACAGCTTTGAGAAAGCATTTTCGGGCCCTCTTCTTATCTCCCGCATAATCTTCATAGTAAATTCCGAGACTACCGTATGCTGGTGCATAACTGAAATTGCTCTTTAGTGCGCTTAGAAAGTAGGCATATGCACCGCTGCGGCTCTCCCTAGCAGCTTTTGAGGTGTCCAGATTCCAAATGCAGCAGCCTAACCGATATTGCGTCTGGGCCAACAAATCTTTAGAAACCGAAGCACGCGTCATAAGTGGTAGTAGGGATTCAAGCTCTGCCTTGCCGCGTGTATAATCGCCCTTCAATGAAAATAGCCAGCCAACCTCTGCACGTACACGGAGATTGGCACTATCACCCTTGAGTGCGCGCTCTAAGAACTCAATTGCTTGATCGTACTCCTCCTCTTCTTCGTATATAAGACCAACGCCAATCATAGCAGAAGTTGACGTAGGATCTACCTCGAGTACTTTGTCGAAAAGGAACTTCGCTTCGCCGTGGTTTCTTGGAGATTGGTAGAATACCAACGCAGTGCCTAAATAGAGCATGAAAGATTGATTAGCGTTCGTAAAGACCTTCCCGGTCTTTTCGGTTTCTGTGACCATTATTTTCATAGCCTTTCTCATGAGCTCAACGTTGCTTTCATGTTCTTCTAAGTGCTGATAGTACTCCCCCATCAATCTGTGAGCGAGCAAAGAATTGGTAGTTGAAATTCCTTCTGTCATCATCAAGAGTCTATCTTCATCAGTGTAAGGAACTACCGATGTTGGCGCGCCACCGTCTTCATCGTCTTCGCTTTCACTATCAGCCTCAGATGTAGGTACAGTAGCTGGAGCTTCTGGCTCTTTTTTTGGGAAAGGAGATAAGTCGCTCGTCATAAACCCAGTTAAGACACGATAGAGGTCAGAATTAGGAAAAAAAGAACAATATTCATTGAGCACATTGACGTCCCAATTCTTGATCTCTTTATGGTCCCGCCACTCAATTGTGATATCCCATGCAAGTTTGAAGGGATGCTTGATGATAACCATGTCGTTTGCTAGTTTCTGCACTACTTGGAGCTCGCTGGCTTTGTTCGGAGCTGTAGTAACCAGCAGGCGGTCATATCGAAATTGGAGTAACTTCTCCTCGTACTGACGCCTAGCATCGTCATCTTGAGTCCAGAGGATGAGCTGCTCATAGATTTCGCCTAGCTCGCTCTGACAGAGGACTTCGCGATTGACCTCGACGGTCACCTCGCTGAGTTTAGCGCCTAATCTCGTACGCCGTTCGCCAATGAGGGTATTGATGCGTTTCTTCTCATCGACCTCTAGGATTTGGGCTATCGTTTCGTAAGTTTTAGCGGGATGAGGAACACGGCCTTCGAGAGCGGGATAGATGGGACTATTGGGGAGTATGAGACGAAGGGCCTGGATGTATTGAGTCCGATCACCAAGGGTACGGACGAAGTTGATGAACTTGTCAATAACATCTTGACATTTGTAAATGTCATCAGCATCTCTGAAGATCTCAGCAAGCTTAAGAGCAGCCTGCTGATACTTTTGGATGGCCTTTGGACCTTGCTTCTCGTAAACCTTGACTAAGCCTTGCCATGCTTGAGCATCGGATCGAATGCCAATAGCTGTCTTATACGCATCTTCGGCTAGTTCTGGTAGATCCTTCTTATCTAAGGCGAATGCCTTGAATACGTAGCTAGTACAAATGTCAGATTCTTCAACGGTAGAGGACTCTTGGCAGAATTGGCAGAATTGGCAGAATTGGCAGAATTGGCAGAATGAGCTACGTACGCCTGGTAGTTATTCGCATCTCTGCTAATGACATTTTCGGCCTGCGACAAGGCGT